TCTTCCCTTTTTTCTTCTTCAGGAAGTTCTCTCCCCCTCTGAGCGCCGGTCTCTCGTTCGTTCTTTCTTTCTTTCTGTCTTTCTTCTTCTTGTCTTGAGAGCGTTCGTTCCTGTCCAAAAAAAATTTTAAGCTGCATGGATGTGTCTGATTTATTTTTATTTTTTTTGTTGGCCACGCACATGTTGTGCGCTGCGGAAACGACGCGCAGGACACCACACACACACACACACACACACACACGAAGTGGCCGCCAGACATGTCACCCCGCGTGCGGGCTGAGCCACTGGCACTCCTCGAACGCAGACACTGCATGAACGGGACAGGTTGGCTCTGTCTCACTCACACACACACACACTCACTCACTCACTCTCACTCACTCTCTCTATCTCTCTCTCTCTCTCTCTCTCTCTCTCTCTCTCTCTCTCTCTCGCTAACCCCTCGCCATTATAGCTCGCGATTACATCAGACTGCATCCTTACGCACTAACCACGCATCTGAGAGGCCCGAGCCCCACTCGCTGGGAACCCCGACTTCGTTTGGTTCGCCTTTGTTCCGCTCAGCATACACTCTCTCGACGCCCCGGCCAAACATGCAGCAGTCGGTTGGGCAACAAGGCGTTCACACACGCTACTTTCGCTCTGTCCAAGCTGCCTGGACTGGCTGCGGGATTTTCGAGGCAGTAAGTAACCAAATCTACAGTGCCGAGCAAGTGTCTGCCCAGCAACCTCAATTTTGTTCGTTGCCTGCGTCGAGGATCCAGCTCTGCGGATGAAACTTGAAGTCTGCGTCTAAGGAGAGCAGCTTACCAGTGCAGGCGCAGTTATTGGAAGGTAGAAACGACGGCTGTGCCCCAATTGGCTTTATGGCGGGGCGACGGCAACGGCGCAGCGAGCTGCCAGCGCGGACTGCCCGTGCCGTCTGCCCTCGCCTTTCCGCACAGTAAATTTCGCTTTCCTCCTTGCCAGCAATGCTTCCTTTGATAAGGGTGACTGAGGCTGTAGCCAGGCGCTCGATCATCGACGTGATGTCTCTCAACTGGGAAAACTAGACCAAAGCCACGGCCGTGATTGCTGCCTCGCCTTAATGCCGCACAAACCAAAGTTGCACCGCTAAATGCACGCGTCTTGAGCTGCGCACAAAGTGTGAGCTCATTGACTCCACTCCACCAACGCCGCTGCCCACTCTGTGGCAGTAGCCGTCGAAGCTAACCCTAACTTTTCAACGGGATTTATTCGCTCCAACCCCCCCCCCGAGGGAAAGGGTGAGGAATCTGCAACTTTGAAAGTTAAAAAGTGCATACATATGAAATAGGAGAAACATGTCAAGAGGCAAGAAAGAGGTGCCAAGTAGAGAATCAAAAGGCAGAAGAGAGAAAAACAAAGAACAGCAACTAGGTCAATAAGAAAAAGAGGAGAGGATCCACAGAGGTGAGGTGAAATTTAACAACAAGAAAACAAATAGATAACAAATGAGGTTCGAAGGACTGCACCTGAAACACTGCACAAACTGTCACCCAGTTCCAGCCTCCTCCTCTGAATCAGAGTCCACATGCCCGTTGCCGTCCAATGTCCCCTCAACACCCTCAGTTTCCTTCTTCTTCCACTTCTCCCTTGGCTCCCGCCATTGTTTGTTCCGTACTGGATCATAGGTGGTGATGATGACCGACCTTGCAAGCTTACACACCCTGGCTGCTGCCATCCGTTCCTGAATGCTCATATCCTGCTGGTCCACACGACCTGCCTCCACCACGACCTCTGCCTCCTCTGCCGCTGCTGTCTCTGAAGCATCAGTGAAATTCGCAAGTCCTACACACTCAATGCGCATCACATTTGTCAAATCCCAAAACAGCAAAGGCGCAGGCAAGTACCAACACTGTGCCCCAACCAGAGATCACAGTTGAATGATATTGACAGAAGGGTGCAACAGCCGGGAATCGGACCCGGGTCTACCGCGTGGCAGGCGATAATTCTACCACTGAACCACTGTTGCTGTTGAAAATGCGAATTCCGGCTGCAAAATTTTGAACTCCTCTTTGTTGCAGTACACGCAAGCTGCTACTGCTTGTGATAGACTCAAATGACACACACAGATCCCTTGCTCCAGCTGGGATGAATTCTGCTGTGGCAGCAGTTGATGAGCACTGTTTGTTAGGTGGAATGGACTGGTTAGCCTCAAGAGGCACAAGATAGACCCAAACCTATTGTGACTGTCAGTTGTCGTTCTCACAATGCCCATGGGAGAGTGAGCCACTGCCAGATTTGTAGAAGCTGAAGGATGCTTTCATGTGGGCTTTAATATGTGTTTGCTCATATATATCAAGAGTACTTCCCAGACAGTCCCCAGACACTCCCTTCCTTGACAATGTCAGGGCTTAGTGCTCACCATGTGGTGCACAGTGCCGTGGGGAATTGTCTTGCTGCCATGCGAATCTTAGAGATTCAGACCAAGCTGGAGACGCTGCTGGTGCTGGTGGCGGCGCTCACTGCATCAGAGGTGGGCACAGGGACCATCCACACTGTACAGTTGGGTGGTGCATGGTAAGCACCACTTCCACTGCCACAGGACAGGTCACACGTTATGCAAGGAAAAGCACTGTGCATATTCAACTGTGCAGATTTCTGTGCGCAATCCAAAATACGCTCTCTGTGAAAACAGTCACTGATTGATATCACAAGGGTACAAGGGTGCTAAAGCCAGCTGCCCTCTCCCAGGTTTGGGCCGGGTGCCTTAAGATGGCCAGGCCAGCTGGTGTGGGATTCCAAGGACCAGATGGCTTCTTCAGTCTTTCGCTCTCCCAGATGAGCTAAGATGGCTGCATCTGCCCAGTTGTACCTCCTGCACCCAAATATAAAAGGGAACAGCCGGGCAATCCCCAGTATAGCAGCAACTGGATACTCAGCACCCACATAAAAACAAACCACTATTGCAACACACAATGTCTCAAACTACCAACACTTGGGTAATCGATCTGCAATGTCAGCACACACAGACACACAATTGCGACAGTCCAGTCACCACTTGGACACAATTTTCGCGCTACTATCACACACTTGAGTGTTGTACCTTTGGCAGCTTGTAGGGTCTGCCACAGACTGAATTGGGTCAAATCTGAGGAAAATTCAAGTTTGATTTGAAAATTTGAATCAGACTCGAACCAAATGAATTTTCTAGAACAAATTGATTTTAATTCGATTTGGTTCAGGTTTTATTAGAAGAAAATCGAATTTCCACACGATTAAGCGCAATTCAAGTGCAATAATGGCCATTTGTCAAATTCAAATGTCTGGAAAATACTAATTCCTTGTCATTTAGATCCAAAAAGTTGAATCAAATCAAATCAAACCCAAATGAAGGTCCAGTCCTTGGTGAACCCTAGCCGCTTGATACTTGAACATAAGTTTACCTACGCTCAGGAGCAAACTCCAACAGTCACAGAGCTCCAGAAGACTACAGCAAAAAAGGAAAACTGCTGCACAGACTTAGAAAAGAGGCAAAGCACCAAAATCCCTTTCATTCAGGAGCAAATTGCAGCCAGCTTCGGGCCCAAAAGTTTGATTGATTCCACTCAAGAAATCTGGTCAACTTTGTTCAAATTGGCCTCCAAGTTACTGTAACCTTCTCCTCAGGCAAGCCTAATCAGCAACATTGCACCAGCCTCTGGAGAAACACAAATTGCGATTTTACCGAGCATACAATTTCCAGAGTAGTGGCTGCATAGTGTAGGGGTTATCACATCAGATTCTGATTCTGGGGACCCCGGTTCGATTCCGGGTGCGGCCTGGGGTGGTACATTGAGGGGCCCAGGCAATGCATGTTTGTGCATCAAACACCAGCATTTCCGTTGTTGGCAGAAAATTGATTGTACCATGTTTGAAGAGATCTGTCCTTTATCCCACCTTAGCAGAAAAAAAAATCAGTGCTTTTTGGTAGTCCCCTGCTTCATTTCACCTGTAACAAGTTGCTCTGGTGAGAGGGAGGACTTTTGTCTGTCACATTCAAAAGTCTGCTGAGATGCCTTGCTTGGCTGATGAGTGCCTCTGCGTGGGACATGTTATAAAAAAAACAAGAAACAGCTTGCGCACTGAGAAAAAGGAAATTGCCAAAGTAGTTTTCCTCCTCAAGAACTGTAATGTTCCTAGCAGGTGGCTGATACTCATGCCACATTTCTAACACAGTCTTTGTAAACAGTCTCCCTACCCTGAGTGAGGGAGTGGAAGGAGTGAATAAAGTGGAGATGTGTGTTTGTGGGTGGTTGTTCTCCACAACTTGGAGAGAAAGACAAATAACCTCAGTTTGAATGATTGATACATAATGATGATATGCACGCTATAATAGTTGCTAGGCAAGCGTGCCCAGCACAGGGTAAAAACCTCTCCCATATTATCTGCTTGAGCAGAGGAGGAGGAAAACTGTTTACACCAGGTTTCTGTTCCACCATATACTCAGAGTATTTGTCAACAGCACAAGCCAGCCCTTTGGTCTGAGGCTGCACACTACAGACTCAGAGCTAAGGTTGGCCTCCAAAAAGCCAGATCTCGGATATCCAGGAGATCCACTCCAGCAGATACAGACTTTTCCAGGTATGGAGGCGCAAATTCTGCAGACACACAGATGGTTTACAGCTTAGCAGTGCAAAGCAGAGTTGCAGGGTAGCAGAGTTGGACAGTTGCACAGTTGCAGAGTTGCAGAGTTGCAGAGCTGTGGAGGCAAGGAGTGGCAGAGCTGCAGAGTAACAGAGTTGCCAAGTTGGAGAGTCTGGGGCTCCCAGACTCCGCAACTTGGCAGCTCAAATAAGCCTGAAAGTCAAAAAGTAGCGCAGTCCTGGTCCCCTGGAATGCAACTCCCTGAATTTGCTTTGTTCTGCCACTCTGCTACTCTGCCACAGTGCTACTCTGCCACAACTCTGCAACTCTGCAAGTCCCCAACTCTTTGTTCAGTTGAAGAACCTTGCCACACACACAAGACAAAAAAGTAGTCTCCCCAGGAGCAGTCTGACCTCTCCCAGTAAGTATAGTGGCTAGTATCACCCCCTGTCACAGGGTAGGCCTGGGTTCAATTACCTGACTGGGAGCAGCAGCTGCGAGACACAGGCTCGTGTGTGCTAGATGCACACTGGGGCAGCGTGGAATAAAGCATTTGCCCCTCATCAGTTTCCTGTTATGGCCTTGCCCTTGTTCACGCAGACCCCACCAAAGCCACAGAGCACCTACTGGGACTGAAATATTTGAGGAGGTTCAAAGCCCAAAGGACTGCTGCAAGCTGCCCCCAATGAGGGGGGGACCCACCTGCAATACCTGCAATGGCCAACAGTGCCTATGCTTAGCTCACAGTTTGCCTCTTGAAGAATCAAATTTGAACAAAATTGGGTGCAACTGCTGGGATTCACAAGCAGTAGCACATGCACAGCAAGACCAAAGTGCAGTAGCTGCCAGAGTGAACCCTAAGCACTTGGCTGCATGTCCAATGGGAAGCTGGTTGAGTTGGCGTAACTGCCTAAGGCACCAGATTAAGGCTCTGGTCTCTCCAGAGGCGTGGGCTTGAATCCCACTCTGCTTGATTGTGCACTGCACATTTAGCCCAGTAGCTGCATTGCCAAAAGTGAGTAGTAGTCTCTCCCTCTTAAGGGATCTCTGACTGATGGATTTTGCTGTATACCTCCTTCAGTAAGACACTTGGCTGGATTTGATGCAAGCACATCCCCTTCCAGTGGTTCCCAGTCTATGCTGTAAAAAGTCTACTATGAGTGAGTGAGTGGAATGAGGGAAGGAAGTGGAGATGCGCGTTTGTGGGTGGTCCTTCTCCCCAACTTGGAGAGAAAGAGAAGAAAACTCTGTTATGAATGGTAGGAGCAGACAGTTGGTGCAGCAGGCCAGTACCCTGACAGACTCTAAGCGGGGCTTCTTTGTTTTAGGTACTTGATTATCTGTGATTTGTTTAAGCTCAGCCTCAGAGATGAGGGGGGTATATATATCAGTGGTAGATAGCTCGCTTTGCATGCGAGATGCCGTGGGTTCGAACCCCACTGCCTCCATTGTTGGAGTATTCACAAATGGGGTGTACTGTGTTCAAGATTGTCTAACCCATTTGTACCCTCCTGATGGTATTTAAGGGATGTGCAAGTACTTGGTAAGGTTCCTAAGGCTTCATTCCACAGGCCAGACACCACACCACGTCATTGTGCTTTACACTGACAAGTTGATAGGAATTGATCCAGAGTCATGGCCCCTTCATTGCTTCACATACTCAATGGAGTTTTGCCCTGATGCAACAGGGTGTCTTAGTCTCCCAGAAAGACCAGGGTTGCAGTTCTACAGTTGGCTGTCTCAGGATGTTTGGCTTCTGTTTTGGCTGTCGCAACAGTTCACTCCAGGTGAGGGCTTTCTGCCAACAGCTGCATAGCAATAAGGCAAATAAAGTCATTATGACTGTGAGGTCCTGCTGACAACGTGGCCGAGCAGTTAAGGCGACAGACTCGAAATCTGTTACTCTTTGGGTGCGCAGGTTCGAGTCCTACCGTTGTCGTTGGATAGGATTGAAACCAGGTCTGGCTGCTCCCTCCATTGCCATTTTGGATCCTCACTCTTGGTGGTCGTTCTCTGTTAATTGGAGGGTGGCGGAAATGACTAAGGGTCAGGATCTACCATGAATCGAATCAGGTGGGACTTTGGCATTGTTCGCATCTGGTTATAAATGATTTCTTCAACTTGTCAAAATCTTCCATTTGAGTTCAATTTGAAAAATTTTAATTAGTAAATTTTTGGATATCCGGCTGATTTAGCGTCATTCATTCAGCTACAAAGTGGTCATTTTATCGAAATAAATGCCAGAGCCTTTGCTAAAAGTAACAATTTGAGTCCAAAAACCCGAATCAAGTCCAATCAGGCATCGAATCCTGTCTAATTCGTGTGAGACCTTACTGAGGATCCAAATCGATAACCAATACTGGAGAATTTTGCATTTATTGTATTGCAATAAACCTTACAAACTAGTGGTATGTGAAGACAACACAGAGCTTCTCTGGGTAACGTTTTAGGCTGGCATCCTCCAGATTTGGAGTGGATACTTGGATCTCTGGATCCTGGAACACACAGACATGGTTTTGACATGTCTGTGTCCATGTCTAAGTCCCAGGTGTCTGATGGAGGGCAGATACACAGCCTTTCTTTGGTAAATTTGCGCAGATATCTGTTCTTTTTGCATAACCGCAGACAATATTTGCGAGGACAGCTGTGGGCGGTACCCACATCCACCCAATCTTCTCCAGTGGAGATCAAGTCTCCACTTTCTGGCATGCCAGGATTAGTAATGATAGCAATACCCCAATATTTCTGGGTATCGAGTCTATTTTCACATGCATCAGGGAATCAAGGGTTAGATATCAGAATTTTTTGAAACACCAGTTCTGCACTGGGTTGTTCCAGAACAGGCATCAGCGCCTTATACATACCCATGCGCACTCCTAGTATCCACAAGACGCTGTGCTGATGCAAGAACCCCCATGCAGGTGGCCACCCATACAGCTATGTGTGTGCCCACATGTAGCTGCACCCACACCTACGCCTGTGCCCCCAGAATGATCTGTCAAGTCGATCAGATTCCATGACTTAACCCTCCACACTGACAGAGACCACAATATGTTTGACTCTGATGACGAGCGCTTGAGGTGGAATGCCTGTGATACTGGTATGGTCAAGGCAAGGCGCCCAGTGCTGGACCCAGCACTGGGCGCAACAACTCACAGAATATGCCTGATGCGATCTCCTCAAAAGAGGAGCTTTTTACCTTCCAAGTCCCTCCCTCTGGCAATCATGCACAGGACCAGCCAGCAGTTTTGGAACCTTGAATATCTGGGAGAGTGAGAAAACGGGGGATTCCGCGATTGGACCTGGGACCTCCTGCACCCTAACCCCCTTACTAAGGTTTCAAATCAATACACATTCACATATTTTCAATTTAAAAAACACTACATTTATCATTTATCAAACTTTGCACCTAAAAAGTGGCACGTTCCTTTTTATAAAAAATTTTTTTAAATTTTTTTTTGCATCAGTTTTAGTGTGAATTTCATTTGCCTCAAAAGAACTTTTCACTTTGATACTAAGATCAAAAGTGATTTATCGACAATGTACATCAATTTGAAACCTTATCCCCTATTAAAACCCCTACTAGCATCTCTGCGAAACAGTGAATCAGCGTCACATCACTGAGTTTTCCGCCTGACCATTGGGTCAGGTCAACACAGTGTTGGTTGCTTTGAGGCCTTCCTAGACATATCCGTCCGGCGGGCCGATTAGTACAAACGAAGCCCGACTGCGTCCCACAGAGGGTGTCGGCCCCAGCGTTCCCACAGAGGGTGCCTCGCATTAGTGTTCCCACAGAGTCTGCCAATTCCGGAAATTGATTTTTTTTGTCAATTTTTTCATTTTGTTATGGTTTTACGTGAGGGCAAAAAAAACTATGTCCTCACTGCGTCCCACAGAGAGTGCCCCAGAGCATCCCAACTGCGTCCCACAGAGCACGATTCCGACAGCGTTCCCACAGAGTCCCTCTAATCAGCGTTCCCACAGAGTCCCCAACATGCGGAATTGAATTTTTTTTGTCAATTTTACCCCCCCAATGCGTTCCCACAGAGCTCTTGTAAGGAGAAATGTGTAATGGAAGCTGAGTCATGTATTGAGTGATGTAAGGCCCTTTTATGTCCGATCGGAGCGGGAAAACTAGAATACCCGAAGTGGGGAAAGAGATTTACCCGTGAGGGAAGAATGGAATATCCGGGAGGACCAGAAGAATGGAAAAAGCAGTTGGACAGGGACATTCCGTCACATACCCCCCTGCAAGAGCAGAGCCACAGGCGAAGCGATGAAGTCAGGGACGGAAGGGAAAAATTGGGAAGCGGTCATCGATAAGCCAAAAAGGGGGAGGAATCGGTGGAAGCAGGAAAGGGGAAGGAGAAAATTAAGGGGAAGACAACGCCAAGGCGAAGGAGGCACGGACGCACGTCATAGCAAGTCGGCGAGGCGGAGGCGGTAGTGCAGGTCAGGCGTCAGGTCAAGCCATGTGTTAAACGAAGGTGAGTGGTGCGACCAAGAGACCAGGACCTGTTCTCGTCGTCTGAAGAGGTGGCGACCAAGCACTTGGGCGACACAGCGGGCCTCTTGGGGGGTTTCCATCAGGGGGTTTGGTCTGTGTGGGTCCCAGTAGTATGGTCGGAGCTTGGAGGGGTGAAACACCGGGTGTGCGCCTGAGTCCGGTGGTAGCTCTAGGAGGAAAGAGATGCCTCGTGTGTCGACAATGCAGAAGGGCCCATGATAGATGGGACCAAGCTTGTCATTGGCAACTGGTGCGTTCCGGGGGTTGAAGTCTTGAGCTGAGACAAGTACAAGGTCGCCAACCTTGAATGGTGCTGGCCGTCGGTGAGCATTTGCGTGGGCTGCTTGGTTGTCTTGAGCACGGCGAATGAAGTCCTTGGCGACTGCGAGACGGGAATAAAGGGCATCATGCGCTGGTGCTGGGACGTCAGGCAGAGGAAGGTCTAGCACAGAGAGCGGGTGTCGGCCAGTGTCCAGTAGGAAGGGTGAGGCGCCAGTTGAGGAGTTGATGCTGTCGTTGATGCCATATTCCACGATGTGTAGATACTGATCCCAATCGTTGTGCTCCCAGTTCACGAAGTTGCGGAGTGCGGCGGCTATCCAGGCGTTGCGAATCTCAGTGTGTCCATCTGTCTGAGGATGGAACGAGGTAGAGAGGTTCTGCTCGATGCCGAGACTGCGAGTGAGTGAGCGCCAGAATTCTGCTATGAAGCGAGGGTCTCTGTCACTAATCAAGCGTCGTGGCAGGCCGTGGTTTCGCCAGACGTGAAGTTCAAAACACTTAGCGACATCGGCTGCTGTATCTGTCACTCGTGAGGGGGCGATTCGTACACGCTTGGTCAAGTAGTCGACGAAGACAGTGATGGAGTCGACACCTGAACTGGTGAGTGGAAGCGGGCCAATGAAGTCGAGGGAGACTGTGTGCCAGGGAGAAGGCGGGACCGAGTGAGGCTCAAGGAGGCCGTAAGGGGGTTGACGAGAG